TATTTAGGTTTACATTTTTAACGAAGAATGAAAAGCTTGCATCAGTTCAGGCCATTTCAATAAAGCAACATGAAAGCTCGAATACCTATCTGAGCCACTGTTTGATTGAGTGCAGTGAGCTCATGTTAGGGAACACTGTTTAAGGCTTAAATGTTAGGGGAAAGCTTTCATCACTAATGGATGAAATTGACATTTTACAACCTTGTATGAAATGGCAAGCTCAGATGTTACTGTAGTTCAAGTTTTATGCCCTCCAGCTTACTCACGTAAATAATACCAGATAACAGTGTGTATGGAAGGCATAGCAACGCTTGCAGGGGGCCCCATAGATAATTTTGTGCAGGTGAGCTGACATGAATTTATCCTCACTGCAAACAGCCACTGTTCATTTTCCATAGACTTGCCTGTCACTTGGTAAATCTGTGACTGGACAAGCAGGTAAACCTGCTCCTTCCATGTTCAGGAGCAAGTCTTTATCCTCAAGATTCCTGTGTTGTATTTTGTTAAACAAAGAATTTAATAAAAAAGAAATATTAATGTCAGGATGTAAGCATTTCTTGCATTCCATTTGCCTGCTCTGTGTGTGGTCGAGGCAGATGTACTGTCAGTACATAATTATTCTGTGGATTGGCAGTGCTGATCTTGAAATTTGATCCTGCTTATTAAAAGTTAATACTTAGTTCCAATGCAGTTCTTTCAGAACTTGTACCTAGAGGTGGCTATGGAATTATGGAAACAGATGCTAATAAAGGCTTATCTATTCAGGACATTTCTGTTTTTGATGTGTGGGCATCTCTGGTATACACGAAATGCTAAAAAAGTACATTGGTTGCTATGTACACTAACAGCCTTCATTTTGTAGCAAACAATTCAGTTTTGGGTAGCACAATTTGAGGCAAGATTTGGATGCACAAGAGAATATCAGAAGGAAAGCTGTGGAGTAGATAAAAGTGTCTGAAAGGCAATTTGTTGAAGGCACTAGACATGTTGAGCTTCTAGAAGAAAATCTAAGGGAATGTCTTGACAGTTGTCAGCTGAGGGCTAGGGTTAATTGGTTAGGATTAATTGTTGCTACATCTTTTGAGATTAGGAAGATATTCATTTATTGTTTAAATATAGGGAAAGGTAGATTTGGATCATACATAAGAACAGGAAAATTAGAAGACATTTTGCACCTGACATTGATAAGTAGACAGATTTATTTAGGGAGTCCTGTTTGTATACACTATTCCATTTTTGAGAAATCAGTTGAACCAAATTGGGGGTGCACACTCAAAATGAATCATGCCACCAAGCAGATAGGCAGAAATCTAAATTTTCAATTCTATGTTCATTAACTCTAACTTTTAAAAAAAATGTAAGTTAAGAAATATTGAAAACTAGAAAGTTAGAACAGGAAAATGAACACATGTAGAATCAGGAGCTGGTCATTTTCATACCTTCTTTCTTTGCTAAGTTCATCAGTTTCTCATCCTTGAAGATAGTTCAGTAATTTATACCAGACATGTAAGAATCATGGATCATACTGGAATCCCTGAAGGCCTAATAAAGCCTTTGGCATATGTGTGAAACTCCTACAGTATTTTATTAACTGAGGCTATTCAGCTGTTTCAGCATGGAGAGCTAACATAGACTAATAAACCATGGAATGAGAATGAGTGAAGTGTTAAGTTAAGCATAACTTGCATTAAGAACCAGTGTGGTGCACTGGTTAAGGGTGTTGCACTGGGACTCAGAAGATCTGTGTTTTATTCCCCATTCAGCTATTACGCTCCCTTGGTGATTGAGCCTGTTGCTGATTCCATGCTAACTCACCATACAGAGTTGTTGTTGTGAATATAAAATGGAGAAAAAGAGAAGCTTGTAAGCCACCTTTAGTTTCTCTCAAAAGTAAGCAAAGCAGGATATAAATTAATTGAAATCCAAATATGATGCAATTCCTAAAAACAGTTTACAGATAACTTGCTACAACTCATATTAATAGTTCAGCGGGTTTTTTTGGATGTATGTGTGTTATGTTTAGTATTTACGTGTGTACTTAGTAGTATATTTCGTATATTACAGATACACTTTTTTTTTAAAGGCATATATGGAAGGATATCTTATGACACAGATGGCAAAATGAAAGTGGAGAAAGCTTTCTTAACAAACATTAGAAGGGCTGTCTATTTGTAGCCATTTCATGCTTTGAGTCCCTGATTTCTATGAATAAGACCTTTAGTAGGAGTAGGAAACTTTCTTTTCTCACCAAATACACATATCAGAAATGTTTGAAGAATTTCAGATCTCTAGTATAACCTCATTCAAGCTGCTGTATTGTTATATCTCTGGATAGGGATATAAATGGTACGATACAATGCACTGTATTTCATTTATATCACTGTGTAGTCTTCCAGAACACTCGGAGAAGTTTGCCTGGGTCTCTGTAGCAGTTTCCATCTGTTCGATGACTAGGATAAAACTTACTTGCCTTTAACAATGCTATTAGAATTTTGGGTATTTTTGACATTCTCTGCTCTTCCATAAGTTTACTTCCAAGTTACTAGTTGTGGGAGAGGCTTTTTACACAAGCCAGGGTTCTGTAATGAGTGATCATTCATCCTTTAATCTGACAAGCTGACAGAATTTAACTGAAATCCTAATTGTACATCCAAATCAAAGAAACACAACATTGATGAGCCTTTTTGAACAGCAGTAGAAATGCAGTAGTTGGTGTCTTCAAGCAAACTGAAAGACTGTAACCTGTGGACTGAAACTCCACATTCTGTTCTATATAAATCAAATTGGGTTTCCATTCTGCCCTTGCTATTTTTACTTTTTGTCATCAGATGTTGTTATTTCTGTGTTTATCTGGAAAATATTAACATTTAGGAAATATTTCCTCCTTCTGAAAAGTTGCATTTTCCCTTAAATGCCTGAAAAGTAATTGTGAAATAGTTTTATGGAGGTGTTTGGCAACAGAAGACCATTTTCTCCCTTTTGGGCAAAGGGTATATTATAAACAGTAATCTGATAGGGTGAAGGATATATACTCCTGGAACAGAAAATAATCAGATCCAATAGAAAAATGTAATTGGTTAAACAGGACAAGAACTAGTAGGTAACAGCATTCCTTCCTTGTAAAGAAGATTTCCTTAGAGATTTGATAACTGAAATTATTTTCTTGGATACTTAGCAGATTGCATTCCTCTGCAAAAAGCAGAGTTGCCTGTAGGCTTTCCAGGGTCTCTTGTGATCTTTCAGACTTCTCTTTTAACTTAACGTTCCATTAGAAATCACCAACCCAAATTGCTTTAGAATATGTTTAAGCCCTTTGAAACATTCATTGGATCCATTAATTGGTTCTTCAGTGGAAGGGAAAAGGTTTTTTGTTGTTTTAAAGTGGGCTTTTTTGTGACCACTGGGTTGTGGAGGCTCGTGGTCCATAATCATGTTGTTCCCCCATCCCCTGCAGAAGTCAGATGCTTGGAGGGGAGTAACACAAAGCTCTTTTCTCAGCAATCAGTGTGTTGCCAACCTTTCAAACTTCACCTTACCTTAACGATGTTACACGCAGCAATGTCATATTTTTTTTAATTTTTAAGGGGATATTTAATTTTATTGTGACTATTCCATAACTGCTATTTTATCAATAAATTTCCCTCCATGATTAACCTTTAGGATCAAGTACAATAAAAGGCAGGTGACACCTTTCAGTCTCCTTGCAAGTCTTAAGATGATGATGATGATGATGATGATGATGATTAATACATTTTATACTGCCCATAGCCAAAGCTCTCTGGGCAGTTTACAGCAATAATAATAGATTCATACAATCAAGTCGCCCATCCCAATTCTGACCAGGCCTGACCCTGCTTAGCTTCCAAGATTAGGCAGGATCAGGCACTCTTAGGTCTGATTCAGACTTTATGGGAGTGGATATAATTGCCTTAGCCATAACATGCTGCCTAGAGCAGTGTGGTGGTAAATTTGGAAGTGCACAACTCCATCCAGTCTAGGTAGCCACATTCCCAAGGAAAGAGCAAAAGTCCAGGCAGCCCTGTTGATCCATATGGGAAAGGGTTCTAGCAGTTAACTGTTAGTCTTAAGATAAATAATGGCTAGGTGTAAGCAAACAAAGCCAAAGCTTGATACAGACAAGATGGAGGTGTGGTTGGTTGGAAAAAATATTTTTTTCTTCTGATAAATGTATAACCTGTTTGGATAGTAGGGAGTGGGAAGGAAGGTACACTTGAATCTGAACAGTGGGGCTTCCAGATGTCCAGGTGGTGACAATGGCCATGAGTGCCCTTAATCAGTTTAGCCTGGTGTGCTACCTGGACCCTTTCCAGGACAAGGAGATTCCTGGAATCTGGCTATGCCCCCATGTGGCTTGGTTCAATCCAGGTTGGATTCCTAAGTGCTGAAAAATTACAACTGATCCAGAATACAGATTATTAATTGCAAACAGTATAGAGATGACCTAACACATAACTAGTTTCACTGGCTCTCCCTGGACACCATTTAGATAGTTATTTTGACCATTAAAGCCTAAAGAGAATGTAATCAGGATATCTTCAGGGCACCTTTCTCCCTTGTGTAACTGTCTTATTGCTCAAATCATCACCAAGCTTTGCTTGGAGCACTGCTGTCCTCTGATAGCCAGTGAATTTCTGCATAAGGCAGGGCATTCACAGGGGCGGCACTGACACCCTTCATAGTCCCTTCTAGGAAAGACTTCCCTGGCTTTCTCATTATTAGGATGATGAAGTATCTTGAAGTTACTGCTTCAAAGCAGTTAAACTGAATGTATTGCTGTTTTGGCTGCTTCATGTTGCCTTTTCATTTTCTGTGCATGTTTTGGTGTTCTTTTATTATAATTTTTAATAGCTTGTTCTGTGTAGCTGTTGTTTACTTTGTGGATTCCTAAAGGGAAGACAGGTGGAATAGAAATGTTTTAAAATAAGATAATTATAGTAACTTTTGGTCTCTCTTACGATTTCAAACATTGTGTTTTTCAGATTGAAGAAGGCAGCAAAGCTGCGGCGGTTGACAAGTTGCTGGCTGGGGATGAAATCATCAGCATCAACAATGTTGGCCTCTCTGGGTTCAGGCAAGAGGCCATCTGCCTGGTGAAAGGTTCACACAAGATGCTGAAACTTGCTGTCAAAAGGTATGTTTGCAAGTCTCAAAGGCAAGAATGAGAACCATGTCCTGCTTGATATAGTTGATGATAAACACTTGTACAAGTCTCTGATTCTTCATTTTGCACATTCCTGTACGTTTCTTGGCAGAAAAGGTCTCAGCTAAATTAACTTGGTGCCTTTTCATTGACTGACTTCATTTTTAAAAGACTTTTTAAAAAATGACATCACATTTCCTCCAGCTCTGTATGTCACTGAATGATTACTTCCTGACAACAAATACACATTCCAGCAGACTGGGAAAGCTGACAGCTTTGCAGACTTGTTCTGTAGCACTTCTTGGTGCAAAAAAATCTATGGGGTAAAAAGCTGGCATGTGCATTTGCAAACCACAATAGGTCACAATGAGACGGTCATGAGACATCACCAGTTGGCCTAAAATTCAGATGTGTACATATCTCTGCAAATTCCTCCAGCCATGTGATTTAAAGGAGTGCCCAAACTGCCACGGTGGCTTATATATCACAGCTGTCTTGCAGTAGACTAGAGTGACATAGTTAAAAGAGGCCAGAAGCTTAGATGGCCATATTGAACAGGTCCTAAGAATGCCTACTCTTCTTCAGTTACTGGCTGCTATCAGGTTAATGAGATTCCATCATCATTAACCTGATCCCTGTAGCTTTCTGGCTTAGCTTTTTTTTTTTTTTTTTAGCAAGAATGGGGAATTATATTTGGTGCAGGGACCAGCTTCCCTCTTGAATTCTGCCCTCCTCTACAAAGTGTTCTCAGCCAGCATTTCTTTTGGGGTGGTGCTCATCAGAGGCCTCTGCAGCTGAATGGGTCAACTGGGGACATAGCTGGCTCATAGGCTGGAGAGTCCCCATCCCTATTCTGTAGCTCATCCATATTTATTTTATTTATTTTTCTATTTATATCCTGCCTTTTTCCTACAAAGAGCTCAAGGCAGCTTACATCTTCTCCTCCTCCATCTTATCCCCACAGCCTTGTGTGAGAGAGGATCACTAGGTTCTCCACACCTGATGCTTGTCCACGAACCTAGTAAAAATTGGATTGGATATTTGCATTGTTTTTAAAGAATCATAACCCTTTACCTCATATGCCAGTCACAGCCATTTCTGGACCACTATAATTTAACCACAGTGGTGCAGCCAGGGGTAACCTCAAGACTGAATTATCATAATGCACTGAGGTGTGGCTACGTTGGGACTCCAGTTAGAAGACCGAGCCCAAATCTGACAAGTTCTCCTAGTATACCCTTAGTAAGAGAACTTCACTGGCTGCCCATCAGCTGCTGGGCTCCATTCAGGAACGTGGTGTTAACATGTGGAGCCTTAAACAATTTGGCACTGGTAACCTTCGGGATTATCTCACACCTTTTATCCTTGCCTGGTTTCTGCAATGCCATGTGCTGCCCAAGTTTGTTTATTTATTTATTTAAAACATTTCTATGCTGCCCCCATCGCAACAAAGCCTCGGGGCGGCTCACAAAGAATACATAAAACATACATAAATAATAATAATATAACAATTAAAAGAAGAAAAACAACAACAACATTTAAAAACCCCCAGTGCATTCTCGGCTAAAAATTTTAAAATCCTAATTAATACAATAATTTAGCAAATAAAATAAGTTTTAAATAAAAAGGTCTTAGCCTGGCGCCAAAAAACAATGATAAACAAATAATAAGTTCATCTCACGTTCGCGCTTGCAATAGAATATTCAGTGTTTGGGCACCCACCCACTTCGCCAACTGATATTAGAGAGGCCCCTGCAGCTGGTATTCAGCCATCTTAAAGCTCCTCCTTTTACTGAAGCTTTCCCTGAAGTGTGAGCCAGCAAGTGGAATCCCATAAGGTTTGCAGCACAGAGTAGAGCGAGCAGTTGTGTTGCTGAATGATGGTATGATATCATTTTTCATTATTATATGTATTATTGGTTTTATGCCATTGTGTTTATGTTCACCGCTTTGATACTTTTTGTAGAAAAACCTGAATAGTAAGAAATAAACAAAATCCCTGAAGCAGCTTTTTATTGTCAGTGATTTTGGATAACAGCTTGGAGAACACACCAGGTATTACAACTGATGCCACACACTAGAACTTTTCAGCTGCTCTAATGGTGGCATTATTTTATTTATTTATTTATTAAAACATTTTTATGCCGCCCCATTCGCCGAAGCCTCAGGGCGGCTCACATCATTAAGTTAAAGTAATTATAATATAAATTTATGTTCATTATGAACAGCTGACAAATAAAGTGGATCTAACATGCTGTGATACATTCGGAATCTGTGCACAACATGTTATTTACAAATACTAATCAGAGCTTTGCCACATTGGAGAAATTGTCAGCTACCTAGACATTCATTTTTAGCAGACTCATGTCTTCATAAATGGAATTTAGTTTCTAAGCATTATCAGTTTCACACTTTGGAAAATTACATCTCATGAACCCCAGCTCCTTTAAAGGAGCCTTTACAATGTACAAACTTGGTACTGGGATGGGATTTGATCTGGATGGATGTCATGTTGCTTATTATTTGTGCCACTCACATTTACAAACATTAATTTATAAGCTTGTTCATGCTTTGTAACAATAATAAGAGAAGAGTTATACAGTTTTCTAGGAATATGTCTCATGGAACTTAATGATACTTGTTTTTCAGTAGATATACATAGGATTCAGCAGTTCAAATCATTGTACATGGTGACATATTAGTGTCTCATGTTTTCATCAAGATAAAAATTTTAAAAGCAGCCTTTAAATAATGCTGTAATTTTTAAAGATGTGGATAGGAGCAAGAAATAAAGCAAGCTGAGAGCACAACCAGATGGCACTAAAATACATAATTTGAAGTTTCAGGGAGTTCTTCCAAAAGGTTATATAGTCCAGGAATGAATAAATTACAACAAATATTCATCTGGACCATATTATACTCATATCTGTTTGATCCTGGACTGGCTTCTAGTTTGGAAAGAAAATAGTATATCATCTGCACTTGAACAGATGGATAAATCTCCATGCTCTGTTTATTTGAGGCCTGTTAAGTGTGCAGGCATTCCATAGTGCAGCTCATAGGTTCAGAAGATCTAACTGGCTTCCTTTTAGACATCCAGCCATTTTCTTTACAAAGGTATTGGTATTGGTCATCTCTGTATATTTCCATAAATTTCTGTCTAGTTAATAGTAGTCTTTCCTTGCTTGCAAAATAGCCTAGGCCAGTGGTGGCGAACCTACGGCACACGTGCCACAGCGGGCAGGCAGAGCCCTCTCTGTTGGCATGTGAGCCAAGTCGTGCCAGCATCGCCCCAGCAGCCGAGCATCGGATAACAGCGCACATAGGGCCATGCACATGCTTGAAAAGGAATAGCGGCACCAGGCAATGATGTCACAAGCCACAAATCATTAACCGCGATTCGTCTGAGCTTTCGCATGACTGGTCAGTGCGCTGCCAAGGATATGCTTGGACTGTGTGTGAGTTGTTTTTCTGATCCAAAGCCTCAGTTTTCAGGTTTTATAGCAGTGTTGGCACGTTGTGATAAATAAGTGGGTTTTGGGTTGCAGTTTGGGTACTCGGTCTTTAAAAGGTTCGCCATCACTGTCCTAGGCTGATCTCCTCTGGAGTCTGATGCCATTGATGCTATATGCAGTGACAGTGAAGATGTCAGATTCCTTGCTGGCACAATTAGGGAAGGCATTGAAAATAATTCTGCCAGTATAATGATGGCAATATATAAATTCATGGTGAAGCCACATTTATTGTACTCTGGGCATTCCATCTTTAAAAAAACAATTGGAGAACTGCAAAGGGTGCAGAGCAGCAACCAAAACATGCTTCATTAGATAAAGGCTAAAGCACCTGGAAGTTCTTACGTTCAATAAAAGACAGTTAGAAGAAGTTTTGAAAGAGGAGAGGTAGGCAACTTGCTGCAATCCAGATGTTTGAAATTACATTTCCCAGCAGTTTCCCCAGCATTACCACTGGTTGGAATTATGACAACTGTATTTCAACATATCTAGTGGACTAAATCTGGAAGATTGCTCACCCCTATGATGGAGGCTGATACTATGAGACATAATGTACAGAAAATGGAGATGGGTTTCTCTTCCTTCCTCTGTTAATACTGGAGATCACCCAGTTAAATTTACAAAAGTAAATATAACGTAGAGCATATTATACTCCACATTTCTTCTTGCAAGGGAACCCCAAATGGCTTATAAGGCTCTTCTCTCTTCCATTTTATCCTCACAGCAACAACCCTGTGAGGTAGCTTGGGCTAAGGGTGCATGACAGGCCAAGAATTACCCTGTGAGCGACCCTGAGTAGGGACTCGAACCCAGCTCTTCTGGATCCCTTTCCAACACTCTGACCGGTACTCTACAGTTGTACTGTTAGTCATCTCCAGCGAGCAAGCTACCGCCGCCTCCCTGTCCTCACAATCGCACCAGTCTCCCCCCCCCCCCTCAGCGCACCCATGGTTCTCCTCTTGGCCACCCATGTTTAAGACGCACCTCCATTTTTAAGTAAATGTTTTTAAGAAAAAGTAGCATCTTATACACGGAAAAATATGGTATATTAGGCTGCATTAATAGAAGTATCACCTCCAAATCATGTGAAGTAATAGTTCCCCTATAGAATGCACTAGTCAGACCTCATCTGGAGTACTGTGTCTAGTTCTGGGCACCATAGTTTAAAAAAGATGCAGAGAAGCTAGAAAGGGTTCAGAGGAAGACAACAAGGAGGATCCAGGGTCTGGAAATAAAGACCTATGAAGAGAAAACTGGCCATGTTCAGCCTTGAGAAGACTGATAGTACTGTTCAAGTACTTAAAAGGCTGTCACAAAGAGAAAGGACAAGATCTCTGCTCAATCATCCCAGAGTGCAGGACATAGAATAACAGACTTAAGTTACAGGAAATCAGTTTCTGGCTAGATATCAGCAGAAAATTCCTCAGTAAGACAATGGAACCAATTACCTAGGAAGGTTGTGGGCTTTTCCACAGTAGA